ACACGTTTGTTTATTCAGAGCACAGGCAGCCAGATTTCTCCTTAAACTACTCCAGAGGTGGCTGAGGTTCTGATTTGTGTTGGCAGCATTTTAGCTTCCTAAAGCAGCTAAGAAAGGACAGTGAAATCAGGTTCGCGCCATAGATCCTGTCCTCACAACACTCCTCCCGTGTCTTGTGGTGCGAGGTCTGACTTCTGTTGAAAACTCATCTCCCTGTCCACAAACACCTGCTGAAATACACCAGAGTGGGCCTTGGTCCTAAATTCTTGTCTATCCCCTTGGCACACAAAGCTTCTGTTCCATTTCCTGGGGCGAAGAAGCGAATTCCACCTAATGCCTCCACACACAGGACTTCACTGCAGTGAGCTTCTGATGCTTAATGAGTCTTTGCTTATAGCTACAGCTTCCCCCTCTCCCACACTCAACTTCTTCTGAGTGTCCTCCAGTGGGAAAGAAAACTTCATTGGTGAAGAAAGCCCTCACTCGTAACACCAATGTGGTGTCTCCTATGTCCCAATGAGTCTCACCCACACTTTGTACATCTGGGGCTTCCCAGTCTCCTGAGTATACCGTGATGTGTGATGACAGCTGGATTGGAGCTAAAGCCTCGCCCACAGTCCTGACCCATGTGGTTTCTCACCTGAGTGTATCCTTGGATGTTTGACGTCACGTTTGGCCACAGCATTACCCACAATTACTCACATGCTGCTAGTCTCCTGAGTGTGTCCTCTGGTGTGTGACACGTGTGACTTCATGTGTGCCGATTGCTGTGCAAGGAGCCTTGCCCACACCTTCTGTATTTATACGGTTTCTCACCTGAATGTGTCCTTGGTGTCTGTGAAGAGTTGACTTCAGGTTAAAGCCTCACCTATACTCCTGGCGCACATGACTTCTCCCATGTGATCCTCTGGTGTTTGGTGAGACCTCAAGGCTCACCCACACTCCGTACATACATGTGATTTGTCCCCTGAAATGTATGCTCCAGTGTGAGGAGTTGATTATTGGCTAAATTCACCCACATTCTTTACACATGTAAGGATTCTCTCGAGTGTCTCCTCTGGTGTTCACTGAGATCCGACTTCCAGGTAAAGTCTCACCCACAGTCCTGGTTTCGCACCTGTGTCTTCTGGTATCT